TGTAATAAGGCACACACCATTATCCCTGTTTTACACACTAAAAGGTAAACCAGAGGTTGTTGCACACCCACCATGATGCAGCACATCTGTGGCAGAACCAGCTCTAATAATGAGGAGAGGAAGGGTTTTGAGCACAGTAGTTCTGCAGCATGACTAGTGAGAATGTTCCTGGCACTGTTACTTACTACAGTTGCTGGACTGTTTCTTTTACAAAACCCCCTTCTCTTCAAATCAAAACAGCACCTCAAAAGCAATCTTGAACAAGTTTTATTATAAGCTTTATCTTGTAAAATCCGGTGTATAAGAGCCTTTTGAGCTAGTTTATCTTAAAAAAAACCAAATCAAAACAGCATATGCTAAAGGAGACAGGAATAGCTGGACGGTAATACAATCCATACATCACAATTTACTCAAAAGGTCACAGTAATGACTCTCAGAAGCTGTTTAAAAACCCATCAAGATTATTTCAGTAAAGGGTATATAAACCACTGTTATATGTTCAATATTTTAGCATAAGTGGGTTCCTACCCCTTACTCCAATTCTAAGTTCTCTGGTCACAATCCCCACATTCATTTAGCCTGCTCTTCTCCATCCCATTCCTGCCCAACTGGTGAAAGCCAGCACTTGTGGCACTCATGGCAATTCACGGACACACTGACAGACACTGTCATCACATTCATTTATAGTCTTAAATTATAAGGAATTAGCAGCAGTTCATAAAGCAGCTTATCTGTCAGTCACAGGAAAAGATGAGCACACACCACCCTTCCACAGCCCCCACTCGTCAAAGAATCACACCGTAAAAGTCTCTATGTTGCCCAAGGAAAACACAAAAACCCCAGATTCTTGCCAAAATGCATGTACCGGATTCACCTCGGCTGACAGACATAAACACGGAAGTTATGTCAACCAAGCAAAGGTGCCTTTTGTCAGAGCAGGTGATCTCAGCCTGTCAAAGCGGTTCGGCACTATGGAGGGTAAAACTTCAAACCTACTGTAAACCTAAAGCTGAACTTGCTGGTATTTCACACGAATGTGAAGCCCCCTTTGTGTTTCCAAGTTTGCCTGGCCATTTCCTTTGAGCGAGTTAAGCATGGTCATGCCAGCACCAAGACCAGAGGCATAGCACAGCTATTAACTTACAACTGCATCAATTACATGCTCTTTTGAAGACATCAGCTTGCTGAAACTGAAGTTTTAGCCCTCATGAAAAGCAATTTCTGGATGTGCTCATCTCAAGTCTCACAGAGAAAGCACACTGTGTGTCAGGCCAGGTCATAGAAACTCTCTTGCTTCTGGGCCAGTTACTCCAAATTCAGGCTTCTGCAACACTCCCAGACACCCCTGAAGACCAGTAGTCTGGATCACTGAAAAGAGAATTCACACTGATCTTACTGCACTATCTAAAGAAAACATGGTTTTACTAGTATGATATGCATCTAGTCGCTGTGCTGTTCTCAAAGGAAACCAACAGACAAGCCTTTCTTTGATCAACACGCTTACTGAACAGAACAGATTCTAACATTATATAATAGAAACCAAATAAACATAAGCAGACATAATGGATTCATTACTGATTAGAGAAAATGTGAAGTGTTTAATCATTCATCAATCTATTCTTACATGCATGGTAAACTGTACTCAGTCAAAAAAAGAATGTAAACACAAAGTTCAGACCTGTTACACGTCTTGAGAATGACTAAAGCTTTCTTGTTATTTTTAACTTAAATGTGATCCTAACTTCGGTTCATGAAGAAAATTAACAGACTGGCAAAATTATTTAGGGGAAAATAGTCTAATAATTTCTAATAGTTATGTTATTTTGATTAATATCATAGAATCCCAGACTGGTTTGGGTTGGAAGGGACCATCCAGTTCCAACCCCCTGCCACGGGCAGGGCTCACATTCATGTGGGTTGCTCATACATAAAATCCAAACCCCAAACCAAAATCTAACACATCTCCCCACAGACTAGAAGTTAAAACTGGTACTATGTTGAGAAGGAGGAATACACACTCTAAGAGCTGTTAGAAAAAAAAGAGAGATGATACTGAGAGGGAGAAAACCAGAAATAACATCTCAATTCTCACAGGCTAGTACGGGGTACAATATGTTTCAACATAATGTGTGTGACTACAATGAATAATACAGCTATTTGTGCTTTCTGTACCACTTCATCTGCCATAAGCTTCTGTGGAATGGAAAACTACTTACTGTTTAACCACCTCAATAATAGCTGTAGTTTATTAAATTAGTTCTAGATTTATTTGCAGAATAAAACCCCCAAGAATATATATTTTTTCTCCCTTTTAGACTTCAAAAGCTGCTGTCTTGTACTGCAATATTAAGCCAAAAAAAGCCCAGGAAGCAACCCCAGGTCTTAAGATTTTTACAGGTATAACTCCTACAAAAACAGTGTTCTGCATACATGTGCAGGAGTTGACAGATGCTCATATGCACTGAATCCAATCACTAAATCGAGGCCTGAATTTATATAGCTTCATGTAGCAAGACAGAATCATAGAATCCCAGAACAGTTTGGGTTGGAAGGGGCCTTAAAGCTCATCCAGTTCCAACCTCCTGCCATGGGCAGGGACACCTTCCACGAGACCAGGCTGCTTAAAGCCCCATCCAACCTGGCGTTCAACACTCAATCCTTCTGAAATGCCAACTTTGTGCAGTCATTTGCCTCTACTGAGATGTTTTGGTTTCCCTCCCATGGGTTAACGAGAACATGAGTCAAAGCAGAAAAGAACATGAGTGGCAAAGGAAACTATAAAGCCTAAATTTTATCAGACATACAAGCTGAAATAATAGGGGGAAAAAACATTCCTCTTAGTCAGAGCTGTCAAAGTGTCATTTGCAATAGGAAGAAGAGGGGAGAAGAAAGCGCTTCTCTGAAGTTTACACTGACAGCTTCTCTTGAAATACACACTGACAAGCCAGATAGTCCCAATCATAAGATCTGATAGGAAAATCCACCCTCTTGGTGGGTACAGAGATCTGAAAGCAAACAAGCAGAACTCTCACTCACTCCCAACCCTTCCCTGGAAAGGTTAGAAACTAGCTCCCCATTGCTTCTATCACTGAAGTTAAACAGCGATCCCACTTCTGCACAACACACATGCCATCCCGCAGATCACCTTACTCCACAAGCACACACCATCAGCTTCTATGAGCTAAGAGACTAACCCAGTTAATTCAGTAAACAGGATCATGGATCTTTATTCTGCAAGACCGGATTTCAATACAATGAGGCTAGGGATGATCTGTGCATGTGTAGCTATGCAGAAGATACGTGCATGTATTCTTCATATCCATGTTTGCAGATACATGCACAGATGTACACAGAAAGATGACATTTCTGGCACAGGAAATCATCAGGATACTGTTCACTGAAGCCTGGAAGGGTACATGAGTCTCCCTGGTTATAAGACACGTGCTTAGGCATTTGCTATTACTGACCGCTTCTTGAGACAGAGCCTATGCAAGGTGGCCCTTTGGTACAGCACGGCAGGGCCACTCCTGTGTTCTCATCCCCATGAGCTCCATAGACTGCACACTATTAATTAACTCTTTCCATATGAGCACTCTGGGAAGTTTTGGAAAAGGCCTAGAGGAGGAAAAGGCTTTACAGCTAAGCGCTCCAACACTGCTCCAGGCAGCAGGGAAAGCACCGAGAGTCTTGTCTGCTGGCTGAGCAGGTCAGAGTTCTGCGAGAGGATGGAAGAGAGACTAGAGAAAGGCAGACAAGGAGAAAGGAGAAAAACTAGGAAACGCTAGCGTTCTGCAGCATTTCTGTCTACTTCACATCTTTCTACTGTGCTGAGAACAGAACTACAATTTATGAGTTAAAGACCTCATTTTGGCAATATCTGAACTGGCTTCACCCCTACTGCAGAATTTATACTCAGCTTACCCAAATAAAGCGGTACATAAAGTAACACCCAGACTGTGCAAACAGTCCCAAAAAATTAGACAGTCATTAGTCACTCGGATTATGCAAGACGGCACAAGAGAAGGGGAGGGGGGGGGAAACCGTGATCCTGACGGTAGCCACACATTCCTGGGATGCCAAAGAAAAGCCCGGGTGCTCTTCACCTTGCAGCGGTCGCAAGGAGCGCTCGGAGGGGACACCCCAGGGACCCACAAGTGCCCGCAGCCCCCCCCTAAGGCAGGCAGGCTCCCGGGGGGGCTCCCCCAGGGCTGACAGGAGGCCGGCCCCGGGGCAGGCCGCAGCTCACCTCGGTCTCCACCACTTCGTGGTAAGCGGGCGGCGGGTCGAAGCCGCCTCCACCGCCGCCGCCGCTGTCGCCGTCGCCGCCGCGGGGACCCTGCCCGCCGGCGGGGGAGCCGTGCCCGCCCGGCGGGCCCTGCCCGCTCTCCATGGGCTCATAGCCGCCGTAGTGGAGGCCGGGCCGCTCGTTGGTGAGCAGAGCCACGGCCTCGTTGATGTCGTTCTTGGCCAAGCGCAGGGCCTTGCGGATGGCGGCCGCGTCCGAGAAGCCCATGCAGAGCAGCGTGGTCATGTGCTGCTCCTCCTCGCTCTCCATGGCCGCGCCGGGCCGGGGGAGCGGGCCGGGGCCGCGAACCGAGGGTAGCCGGGCTCAGGCGCTGCCCGCCCCGCGCGCCGCCATGTTGACGGGAGCTCCGCGCCTCTCCCCTCAGCCGCCGCCGCGGCCGGGCCCCCCCCCCCCGAGCGCGCCCCCTCCGCCCCGCCCTCAGCCCCGGAAGCGGCGGCGAAGCCCGGCTGGGGGAGCGCACGCCGGGCCCGCGTCACGTGACAGGGGCGGGGCGGGAGGCGCAGCGAGGGCATGAATGGACTGGCAAAGGGAGCGGGAGGGGGGGGTGTAGCGGCCGTCGCCATAGCAACCAGGGTCACGTGAAGGGGGGCGGTGTTGCCAGGGGAACCGGACCCTCGCTGCGGTTCTGTGGTGGTGCCTCAGTGGTCGGCCCGGGCCTGTGCGGCGGAGCCCGGCCAGAGGGAACGGCGGCCGGCCTCCTGCCCGCTGCCGGTAGTTCCTCCTTTCATTGCGGTCTTTACTAGGGAATGATCCCCGCAGGGGCACGGCCGGCGGGGCGGTGACTGGTTTTCACGGCGAATCACGACAGGCCCTTGAAGGGCGGGAGGAGGGGTTGGTGAGGGGAGGCCGGGCAAGGAGGGAAGGCGGGAAGGCGGGAAGGCAGGGGCTGGCGTAGCCGGAGGTGTCTGTGGGCAGGCGGTGAGCAGGTGTCGTCTGAGGTGATGAGGGTGGGTTTTAACGAGAAACGAAGGGCTGGCTGCTGCTTAAGGCTCCAGCTGCCTGGGCTGGGGATGGAGGAGGTGAGTGGTAGCCTGTGGGGCTGGTCCGAATGGAGCTCACAGGGGTGTAATAAGAAGCTGAGGTCTGGCTGCAGTCCGAGGGCTGTTGTCACTGCCTGCTTCCAGGTTGTTTATTTGTAGAAATGTGACTTTTAAATGTACAATACAGTCGAGATGCAGATCTCCAGAGGAAGCCATGAAGATGCTGTGAGGGCTGGAGCAGCTCTGCTCTGAATCCAGGCTGAGAGAGCTGGGCTGGGTCAGCCTGGAGAAGAGAAGGCTCCTGAAGGGGAGACCTTAGAGCAGCTCCAGTGCCTAAAGGGGCTACAAGAAACCTGGAGAGGGGCTTTTGGCAAGGGCCTGTAGGGACAGGACAAGGGGAATGACTTTAACCTGCCAGAGGTAAGATTGAGATGAGATATTGGAATGAAAGTTTTCATTATGAGGGTGCTGAGGTGCTGGCACAGGGTGCCCAGAGAAGCTGTGGCTGCCCCATCCCTGTCAGTGTTCAAGGCCAGGTTGGACACAGGGGCTTGGAGCAAGCTGCTCTAGTGGAAGGTGTCCCTGGATGTGGCAGGGGTTGGAACTGGATGAGCTTTAAGGTCCTTTCCAACCCAAACCACTCTGGGATTCTATGATTGTAAATCCATACAAAATGGACTGCAACCAGATATAAAAATAAAAAAACCTTATTGGTAGTGCCCAATGCAGAATATAAGTTGTGTATTTCTTAAATACACTTAGTGAATTCTGGTACTGCACGAGATTTGGTATATCTGGATCTCTGTCAGACTCCCTGGCAAAATTTAGCACCTCATTTTAACAATGTGTTTTCTATGTCCAGAGAAGAGGAGGAAGGAGGAGACATGTCAAGATTTGTCAAGGTCAGGACTCGTATTTGCATGGATGCATTTGTCTTCAGAGGTTCATGTTTTCTGATAAATTATTTTGTGTTAACAGTGGCTGACAACACTAAAAGCACTGGGGTTAGGAGTCTAGAAAGAGCTGTCTGAAGTCTTAGATACAAATCACATTCAGCATAAAGGAAACACTCAAGCGTAGGCGACCCCAATAGTATTTAGGTGTCTAACCTACATTAACTATCAGAGCTCAGTGTCTCTCTGTCTCTGCTCCTGAATTTTTCTGTGGAAAGAGAGAAAACTGATGGATCGCTTTGGACTGGCAGGGTTTTGGGTTAACTTTCAGATTGTAGTATACCACTGGTGGTCTCATATTCCTTATATAATAACCCCCAAAGTAATCACAGTTCCTTCATCTCACTCATTCATCTCTCTTTTTCTGTTTTTTTTTTTTGGTAGGCTGGCATTCAGTGGAATGGATGTAATGCACATCTGACTCTGAACTTCTGCTTCTGGATCTACGGAAGGCCTTTCATTCATGCTGATCTCCAGTTATAAAAGAAACAAGAATTTGTTATGGCTCAAGCTTGGCTTCAGCAAAATTCCAGCCCTTCAAATGCATTCAGTTAACGTGCTGAATATTGACTCACTGCTTACTCACGTGACCGACATTGAAATTACACTTTCTCATTTTTGTAGCATATCATAAATAATGGTTTAATCCTCACAGCCTGATGAAGTCAGTTGGCATCATTTTTCCTTGCTAATGGAAGAAAAGTTTGTAGGATAAAGTAAGATATTTTATTAGATGTCATTATTGCTTTCAGCTTTATTTCAAGGAAGTGCTCCTGTAAATTTGAGCTGAGCTAAGTAATGAAAACATACCAAAAGTAATGGAGGAACTGATTGCAATCCCAGGTGGCTAAGAAAGAAGAGAGTGCTATAACATTGAGTCACCTGTGCTTTATAGTCCAGCTGTTCTGAAGGAAGTTTGAAGGGAATTTGACTTTGCCAATATTTAAGGGTGACACTTGGACACAACAGCTCAGCATAACTGACGGGGTACTGGTCCTAAAATTAGTCTGTGCCAACTTCACTTACAGCATCTCTCTTGAGACTGCTTAAAGGACAAGATTGTATGTTCCAGCTTAGTGGAGGAATGGAAGTGCACCTTTTCCATGAGCTATTCAGCCTGGAAGTCCCAGTTTCCAAATGTTTTTCCTGCATTGTCACTTCAAGAAAAGTTGCAGGGAGGAGCACATCAAACTTGGCTAACAGAGAACAAGAAAAGCAGTGAGTGAGTCTTTCCTTATGAGGCACCAGGAGGCATAAGGGAAGGACAGAAAGTGGAGAACAATGATCCTCAAGATCTGCTGTTGGAGTTTGTGCTGTGTGATTGCCAGTTTGATATGACACATAGTCCTGGGTTCACTAGTTACTTGATGGTGTCACTTCATGGAAAGTAGTGACTTTGTACAGAACCCATCATATATGTATCCTGACACATGTCTGGACACGAGAAACCCTCGTGTTACAGAAAAGACATTTTGGAACAGAAACAACTGTTTTGGTAAGTGGTCATGCTGGGACATCAAACCTGGCTCTTTGGGTTGACCGTGGTGGTGTCAGTTAGCCTAAAAATAGGGCTTGATGGAAGATTGCAGTGATGCTTTTGCAGGGATGTTACAGTAGGACTGTTCAGTTAATTTGTCTTTTTAGCTGAAAATGCTTTCATGCTTCTCTTCGTAAGCCTGTTTTAAAGCCAGACCTGTGTTTATAGTGCTCTCACTATTTAAACAGCAAATAACAGCATTTTCTCTCAAAAAGAAACAGCTGTATTATTCTAGTGGAACATACAGATGCAGCCAAACTAAGAGCTGACTCTGTGGCTTGTTGAACTTGAAGGTTTCCCTTGTTGTTTACAGCTGTTGGGGAATTCCAACCATAATCTCAGATGTAATTGGAAAACATCCTTTGCCACCCTGATTTTGTTTCCTCCTTGGCTGTAACTTTGCAGCCATAATTGTTACATATATACCCTGAGACTTTGATTGAAGAGAATGTAATTTCTTATGTTGCCACCAATCTTTAATTTATGTTTTTTACTCAAGGAGTATCTTTATCATATCTTTCCCTTTTTTTGTTAGAAGTGCCGTAGGTATATACTGTCAAGGAAAGGTTAGTAGGAGATAAAAGTTACTGTTCATAAATCTTTTATAAATAATAACTAAATAAGGGAAATCAGGGCAAAATTTAGTGACAGGGCTCCACCACTATATGGTACATAAACACAGAAGGAGTTGTGTGAAAACTGGTGTTGCAGTAGCTAGAATAAACTCCTTCGCAGTTGCTGAATGAAAGAGGAGTGGGTGTGAGCCTATATGAAACCCTGCTCCTTCATTTGGAAGCAAGAGCACTCTCACTGATGTCAATGGTTTGGGATTAGGCACCTGATATAGTTGGATCTCAGGTCCCTGCCCACCTAAACATGCCAAGCACAGAGGAACAAGTTTATGAAAGTTTCCCTAATCTTATGGTTTGGATGGGCAAGGCACTTCTTTTGGTATAGCAGGCTGTTGGGACAAAGGAATTCTTTACTACCTGAAGAAAGAGTATCTGAGATGTCACAGAATCCAGGTTTTGTACAGTATTGGGAAGAATTAATTTAGGTTTTCTGGAATGACTTTATCTTTCCTTCCTTCCTTCCTTTTATTCCTTGTCCCACCCAGTCTCTTCCAGTTTCCTGCTTCTGATTTATTGATAGCTAAATGTAATAGGTGGGTTTTAAGAAAGTGCATATCCCCCTGAATTACTGAAAATTATGTTTCTTACCTGTGCATATTGATGGATGGTGTCTGGTTGCCTTTAGCAGAGGGGTTGAAAGTATTTGTGTGTGAAGAACTATGTAACCCACCTGAAAAGCACAGCTGCAATGGCCTGATAACTAAGTAGATGTACTGATGCATTCAACTCCTCAGGTAGCTGTGCAGCTTCACACCAAACAAAGATTTTAGCAGGCACAAGAAGTGTGTGAGTATTCACAAGCACCAACTAAACAGATTTATGCAATAGACCTTTAGACTTTGTCTATGCTAGGCGTTTTTTGCTGCCTTCACAGTTTTTGGCTTCCTATAAAGGAGATTTGTGCTGGGGTAACCGCCAAAGCAAAGCCTGCTGTCAGCAGTGATTTGCAAAGAGGCAGTTTACCTTAGTTTCACGCTGGGATTCATGTACACTAGTAGTCATAATTATAATATTTAGCTCTAATTCAGTGCTTATGAGATGAGTATCTAACTAGCCTTCTAGGAGGATGGAGGAGTATCATTAGCTCCTCAACATTGATTTTTACAACTGCTTCAAACTGTAGTGGGGCTGAAAGGGAAAGAAGAAAGGTGAACAGCTCTCATGGCGTTGATGTGCCTCCTCCAGAAAGTCTGTCCCTGTTGTTATTCTTGTGCCCAAAAGGAACAGGAGCTGAACCACGACTGTTTTTTTCTGTGGCAGGAGCTGAGTACCCCCTAGTCTCCTGAATACAAAAATGAAGTTTCATGCTGTTTCCCTTGAATGGAACAGCATGATGCGAGTGTGAAAAGAGTGGAACAGTATGTTAAGGGAAACAGGACTGAAAAGAGAGAGCAGCTGACTCCAGGGGCTGAGCAGATCTGCCCCCTCTGCTTCACTGTATGGGTTTGTTTTCAGCTCTTCAACTCGGACCGTTTCGTGGGTCTCACAACACATCTCCTCAGCTCTGGCCTGGGAAATGAAACAATTGTAAGGAAGTTGTTCATTCTTCCTGAAACAAGCTGTGGCAAATGAAAGCTAGGGCTGAACTTCAGAACAAGCTGAAAGCACCAAGATGCAGAAATGCAGGGTGAAGCCATTCAATTGAATCAGTTTTGGAACAGAGCCCTGAAAAAACCTGCAGTTATGACTAATCCATTTTAAATGTGTGTGGTTGTAGGTAAAATCACTTCTCTTAAAGATCATTTCTCTTCCTATGTTGATTACAGTTCTTCACTGTCATTTTGGATGACTGATGTGTTGACATGTGAGTTCACTATCAGATGAACTGCACTGACAGAATTATTTCTGGAGCTGGAGTGGCTGAACTGCTGGTGAAGGGGAGAAACAACACAAACAGGATATTCAGCACCCTGAGACCCACCCAGGGGCAAGCACGTGAATGCTTCCTTCAGCCAAGTTAGCTTAGGAAACTTGACTGCAAAGCTCAGTTTGTGCAGGGACATGCTCTTGCAGTGACATTTTTAGGAGTGAAACAATCTGAAATAGAAACTTCTGGTGTTCTTGTTGCACTTTAACAAGTCTGTCAGGCACCACACAGTTTTACAGGGTAATCTTTAGATGCTTTTATTTTGTCCTGAACTTGTCCCAGCCTCGCTTGCTGATCCCTTCTCAGAGAACCCTCTGATGCTGTGATACAGAGCCGCTGATGTTAACACACTGCATTAAGGAGGGGAGATGTTGTGTGTGACACGGTGTTGGAGTGTCACGGCTGTGGGGATACCAATCCAACATTTATAGACTGCAGTCTTATCAGTAGAGCTGTCAATAGGTGCATGAGTTCAGTTCAAACAAGCAAGAGACCATGGGGGGAACAACATGGAGACTGTTTTGGCAGGTGGGAAACAGTACAGTGAATCCAGTGCTCTTGGGATATGCCCAGTTTACAGACTACATCAGTCTAACTGAGGGCAGTGCAGTGTGGTGGCAGTGCTTTTAGTAACACGCAGTACTCTGAGGGTGAAGGCTGTTTTCTGTAGAGTGTGTGTGTATGTATCTGATATCCAGGAACAAAAGCAGTTGGCGTTTCCCTGGTGTGGGATGAAATGTGGTGCAGTGTGATAGAGCAACAGGGAACTTCTGGCTGGCTTTTTTTGCACTGCGCAGATTCCTTTTGAATTGGGTTTTGACCTCTAAAGCAAGACCTGCTTCTTCAGTTTCTCATTGTCTAAATTATGTGTTAAAGCTTGAGAAACAAGTCTGTGAAGCTGGGGGATTTTTAAGCTCTAATTAGAGAAAAAAAATAAAAGAACAGATAAGAAAGAGACTGCTGAGGGAGAGAACCAAATGGAAAACATTTTACAGATCTGGTGCCTTTTATTTCACTGTTCCACAGCAATGCAGTGGGAGCCCAGCCTGTGTGGTGCTGGGCTGAGATCAGCACGAACCTCTGGTTTTTATTAAAGACTAGTCTATAACTGTCCTGGTCTTAAGAGGCACCTCTACCTCCTGATCAAAGCACCACCTTGTTTGCCCTCAGTGCTGTGGAAACCCAAGGTCATGTTCTTGCTGCCAGGGTTTTGTACTAGGTAGGGCACAGTAGCTGATTCGCACCAGAAGCCCTATGCAGAAGTTTGGAGGTAGGAGAGGTGAAAACCACTATCCTGACTAAAAAAGTGGTTTTTTTTACTACTACTATTGCTTCAGGTGTATTTGCCCAGGATTTCTTGATTTCTCAGTCAGATTCTTTTGTTTCATGTAGATTGTTAAGTGCAGGCTGAAACTGAAAGCCAGTGCTGGATGGGAGGGAGACAGCAGCTTTGGTGCGCCTGAGGAAGGTCTTAGTACTGTGCCTAGGGATCTGCAGGTGGGACTACAGGGGAGGAGGAAGCACAGGATTATATTTGGTTCAAACACAAGGCTCAGCTTTCCAGAGATATCAAGAGGTCCTTCAAGGCTGTGAAAGCCTAAAGCCTCAGATTTCTCCTGCCTCATCTGCCTGCTGGCACACAGAGCCCTGTTGTCCCTTTGTTGCATTTGATCTGTCAGTGACTCATTTGAAGGCTCTCTATTTTCACCAGCAAGGTGCTTCAGGGCTGAGTCGCACCCATGTAGCAGCTCTGTTACACTGTTATCAGCTACTCCTTTCACTCCTCTGGTGTTCCCAGCCTTTGATCTGTTACCATACTGCAGCAGCAACTTCCCTTGTTTCTTAATGCTGCATTACATTGTGCAAGGCCATCACCACTCCACAAATGCGGCAGTCTGCTGCCTCTGCACTGCTCTCACAAGTGCATCCATGCTTTTTCTAGAAAGCATGAAATAAACTCTTGTTCCCCTCAATCCTCAAATAATCATAGTGGAAATTACTATGAGATGGCAATTTTCATCAGGCACTACCTGGAGGTATAATGATATAGTTAATTCTCCCCTTCCTTCTCCCTGTTGCATTTGTCTGGCTGCTGCAGGGGCTATACTGCCATCCATCCAGCACCTGGTGCTGTGGGCTCAGACTGGTCTGTAAATCCTAGTGCTACTGAGCAGTGATGAATCTTGACCTCCAGCAGGAAGTCCCCTTTTGCTGGCCAGGCTGGATTTTGTTTAA